TAAGGTATCCTGCATACCCAAAGTGTTTGTTCTCCCTCCCTCCTCCTCTCCCACTCCCCCTTTGTTAATTGTCTTTTTGTGTCTTTTTACTCTCTTTCTTTTTCCCTCCTTCCCACCCCTCATTCCTCCCTTGAACATCAATATTGGATGATGAGGTGAATGTCTCCACAAAGACAAATTCCAACCACTAAAAGACACTCATGTGCATTTCTAATAGATAACTGTGGGTAATATCAATACATATTATTATCATATGATAGAAATTAGAAAGCAACTATACACCATGTTGACAAAAATATGCAAATGATTTTCCTCTCTCTCACATTCACCAATGAAAAACACACACCTGGCAAAATAGTGCCTCCTGATAAAACATGCCAGAATAAAGCAAATAAAAACCCCTTGCATGTGGATCTTCAAACTGGAAGATTAAAAAAAAAAAATCAAAAGAAATGTTCTTTAGCAGAGTAACTATTATACTCTTCATTACAATGCTATAAACAATGTTGTAAAGATAGACAACAAAACAACCCATTACAAGGTTCTCCCTTATCTGCTCCAAAATATCAGCTGCTATAAGACATTTCATCCCAGGTCTGTTGTTCTCTTTTCCTTACAAATCAAGGTTTTTTTAGCCTAGCATCAGAAGTGGCTGAGTGAAAATGCATTCTGGTGCATACAAAACTTTAATTTAAAAACTTATACCATGAGAACCAGTCATTGTATGCACAATTTGCCAGATTGGCTCTCCCTAGTTTATATTTCACTGCTGCAAATATACCACAAAGAATTCTGCTTTGCATCTCAAGTATCACTGTATCTTGTTGATTTTAAACGTGTGCTGATTCTGACAATCCTATTTTGAGCCAAAAGTACATTGTTTCCAATTTCCTTCCTCAAAGTTGCATTTTAGCAATCTAAACTTTCTTTACTTCACTAATGCTTTTAGAGGAAATAAAATAATAATGTAAAGTCTTAATTTGCTTCTTCAGTTTTTTGGGGTAGGAATTGATACCCATGTACTTCCTGATCCACTCACTGGTTTTTGGGGGTTTTTTGTTGTCTTTTTTTTCTTCCTAATCTTGTGCAACTTTCTTCCTCAAAATTTAAAATATTAACACCATGAGCAGAGAACCTTTACTGCACTACTCTAAACTGGTGCTATATTTGCTTGGTTGCATTTTCCAAGTGATTATCTTGTCATAAACTGATAGAATACTTTTCTGCTGGAAAAGCTTTTAGATTTTTTTCTTGTAGCTGCTTAAACTCAAGCAAATTATTTTCTCACTAATTATTATTATATTGTCTTTAAAATAATCAAGATATGTTGCACCTACTTCCTTTGGTGCTGCTCTCCAAAAGTAACCATATCCTTTCTACTGCAGTCAACATAAGGTCTGTAACAGATTTGCTTCCTGCAAATTTAACCTTATGTGCAAAGACTTCTGCAATTTCAACCACTGTTCCTGGTGATAAACTGGATTTTTTGTAAATTTTGCAGATGACATCTATATCTTCCCAGCACCATGCCTGTAACACCATATGAAGTTTAAAAATGGCAGACTGCACCTGAGCCACCCTGGTTGTGTATAGGGAAAAAGAGGCTGGAGAGCAGCACTGTGGAAAGGGACCTGGGAGTCCTGGTCAATGACAAGTTGAACACGAGCTAGCAGTGCCCTGGCAGCCAGGAGGGCCAGTGGTGCCCTGGTGGGCATCAGGGCATCACAGCTGGGCAAGGGAGGGGATTGTCCTGCTCTGCTCCGCACTGGGCAGCCTCGCCTCGAGTGCTGGGGGCAGTTTTGGGCACCACAATATAAGACAATATAAACTACTGGAGAGCATCCAAATGAGGGCCACAAAGGTGGTGAAGAGTCTGGAGGAGAAGCTTTATGAGGAGCAGCTGAGGTCACTTGGTCTGTTCAGCCTGGAGGAGACAAAGGGGAGACCCCATTGCAGTTACAGCTTCCTCATGAGGGGAAGAGACAGGGCAGGTACATATCACTTCACTGTGGTGACCAGTGACAAGTCTAGAAACAACATGAAACTGAGTCAGGGGATGTTTAGGTTTGATATTAGGAAATGGTTCTTTAACCAGAGGGTGGTTGGACCCTGGCTCCCCAAGGAAGTGGCCACAGCATCTAGTCTGTCTGAGTTCAAGTGTTGGGACAACTGTCAGGTAGATGGTGTGATTTTTAGAGTGTCCTGTTGAGGGTCGTGAGTTGGACTCAATGATCCTGATGGGTCCCTTCCAACACAGCATATTCTGTGATCCTATGATTCTATAAACACAAGTAGTTCTGTATTGTTCTTGGAGACAAGTGGCCTCTCAAACAAGCAAAAGCAGTAGCATATACTTTGTATGTGAAGCCATCACACTGCAGTTTTCCAAGCACTTGACAAGTTACTTGTAGGATTATTAACTCTAAAAAGATATTACTCAGTTACATGTCTATAAACTTCTTTCATAGTCATTAAATAATGATTTAATCTACTTCTATAGATAGAACCATGTCATTAGTTCTTTTAAAGTCTCCAGAATTATTTTTTTCCTGTAGAAATGAGATTAGCTATAATGCATGAGAATATTTTGCATTATCCACTGCACTGTAATACTTTTTAGCTCCAATAAAGCAAAATATTTAACAAAACTATTCTGTCAGACATCATGGAAATGCCTCTTCATAAGGATTCCTTTCAAATGTATATGCAAACTATGCATCATTCTAGCAGAGGTTGCACAATCCTTTTCCTCTGAGACTGTGCACCTAATACATAGGATATAAACCCATTATAAATGTCAGCTCTCTCAACAGCATTTCATAGATACTGCCGAAATATTGGATTACTCTCTTATTCTTAGCTGTTCTGGGAAAGCCCCAGATGCTGTTTTGTTCTACCTTCATTTCTTTTGTGAAAAATTTTACATTACGTCCTGTTTTACATTCTGTTCTATTTCCCCTTATGAAGCTGTCATCTTTTTTTCAGATCTTTCTTCAACTGCTTTTGTTAAGTTTAAAACTTTTTTAACTCTTATTTTACCTCCTTTGGTGACTGCTGATTCCTGATGGTATGTTCTCTATTTGTTTCATCTTGATTCAAGACAACTGCCAACTCACATATCCCCTTGTACAACACTAGTATTTCTCTTGACATGGATGATTTGTTGTTACTTGGAATTTTCAGGATGAATAAGAGCTAAATAATGCCTCTGATATGACTCAAAATTAGTGAAGGAATAGTGCCTTCTGTCCCCATATAAAGAAGGGAAGAAAGACCAACAGAAAGTTTACTCAACTGACTTGTCTCTTTACATTCAACATTTCTTCCCCTAAACTTAAACTCCAGAATTCTGTTCCTGGATTTATCATTGTTTTAAATCTGTTTTCTCTGGTGTTTATGATGCTTCTCTGACTTACACATAAACAGAACAATTTCTAGACTATTTTGGTCTCTCTAATTCCTATCAGTTTGGCATTTCAATGTTCACTTAAATTTCTGGGGCATGCCTCAGATGCTTCACAAGTTTGCATGCAGATTATTTAAAGATTATAAAATATTCCTAAGATTTTACTTTTTCCATACTAAACCTAAATGGAAGGTGGGTTTTATCCTCAAAATAACAAAAAGGTTTATAAATAAGAAAATATAAGATGCCAAAAAGGCCAGCAGGTCTGAAGTTCAGTCTATTCTGTCACTTGCACATCTGTAGAATATATTCAGCAACACAGAGCCACAATAGAACATACTGGAAAAATTGGTATGAATCAAAACTAGATTCCTAACAACTAACTGTTCAAAGACGGAGTGAACAGAATCATAATTTCTTCAGCAGGTGTCCATTACACAGAAAATTACTGAAATAATGAACATTTCAGAGATGTTATTTAAGTAGCAGTAAATAGATCCAATACATAGGTGAATCTGTATTTGATAATACTAGGTACCTCTTTAATCCAAGATATTCCACTAAACTTTATTTCTTAAAATTCCTTTCCGTGTGCTTGAATTATAGTACTGGACACAACTTTCCCAGTGCAATGATTTAACATATGTTATTAACACAGATAAAAACAGTACCAAACTTAAGACCTACCTGAGAAAAAATAAAAATATATCCACATCAATGAAAAAAAGATAAATTCTTGTTCAAAATGAAGTTTAAATAAATATTTCCCTGAGAAATAAGTCAGTAGAACCACCTTACAATATTAAGTAGAATTATTGTGCAGTACTCACAGTCTTTGTGTGACACCATTTTCATTCCCATCTATCCTGAAATCTAATGCTGGATCTTCACTTCATTTCCTTGGAAAAAATCACTGCACTCAGTGTGTACTCAGTTCTTGCTGAATCCCCTTCTGTGGATTCTAGGAGCCAAGCTACAACCAAGCTAATACCTGTAGTTGGCTTTTAGTCTTGCAGCTGAAGTTTTGTACTTAGTAAAAAGCAGCTGACCTGGAAAACACTTAAGTGATTGGAATTTCCAAGCCAATATGCAAACCCATATTCCACAAGGGTAAATCAATATTTGTTTTGTCTGTTGCATGGTATGGAATCTTTTCCTCCTCTTTTAGCAATCTCAGCAATTAGCCCTCTCACTTTAAAAGAATCAACCCCACTTGCTAGTATAAGCCTTCCACTACTAGGACTTCATTCTCTAAACACAGAGATTTTAAACATATTTAAAACCTTTTTTTTTTATAAAATAATGTGCTGTGTACAGTACTGTTGTTGTTGTTGAACATATAGAAGGCACCACTAAAGACAAATTTATCATATGAAAATATACAACTATTTATAAAGTAACAACTGTTTTCTTTTTGGAAAATACAATAAAATCCATAAACTTTGACAAAATATATATTGTACCTGCTTGAGAAAATTAAAATAAAGGTAAATTTTAGCACTGTAGAGAAAGGAACAGTGTATGGGATGTTTCCTATGCTATAGCAGCAACTAAGATTAATGAACAGAGAACAAGTGGTTGACATATCACCTACCCATGGGAGTTCCAACGCCATAACCTTTGGAGTCTATCAGGCCTCCAATCTGTGTTAGGTTACAGTTCCTCTGTGTGACAAACTCAATGGTTGTCGACTCCATTAGAAATGCGTAATCAGAGGTAAGCACGCGTTGGATGCCTTCTTCATTACTTTTGACAAGTACTGACTGCCTTCTGCTGCTCATGAAGGCCCACATCTTGTCATAAGTGGAGATTTTGGATTTCTGAAAGACAAATATTAAATGCAATATGAGTAAGAATAATAGGCTTCTACGAGTGAAAGCAAGCTCTCAATTTGCACATTGCTCTCCTCTTGGACTTTACCACATCAGGTTTTACCAAGGCAATTTTCTAAGGATATCCATGTCTTTCATCTCATTTGTACTTCTCATCTTCTCCATTTAAAAACAAACAACTGGACAGATTGTCCAATGGGAAATATCTATTGTTGATGTGGTTTTTATTGTTTATATGTTTTTATGCAGGAAGAAGGCCTACAAGTACTTCAGGTCAGTGGAAAACTATTAAGTATTTCACTCTAGCAAAGATAATAAACAATGTTGTTAAGTTTTGTAGGAGAATCTGGCATTCTGGCACAAGTGAAATTTTGCTCTTATTTCAATCACTGAGCTGAACAGTTCTGAAAACCTAATGCACAGCATAGCAATCTGAAGTAATCAAACAGCTCACAGATGGCAGTATATGGAGAAAACACTTGTGAATGAGAGGTCAGATAACATTTTATCTAACTTACATGAGAAAAATACTTGGAGAAAGATTTTAGGTGAGAGATAATATCACTGTCAGGTCATAGTAAGGCTAGCTTGCCTTACAGAAATGGACTACTGGAAGTCCTAAAAATTAATATGTGTTTTCTGATATAATATTTTCACAATACAAAGAACTGTTGTGGTAGGAAGGGAGTCAGTAATTTGGGACAAAGGAGTCAGTAGTTTGGAAGAAACTGATGCTGTGAAACTACAGAGGAGTTGCTTCCTTTTTTCACCTGAGTTGGTTTAAAAAGAAGGTAATTACCTTCTCTCATTTTTGTAAAACACAGTGCTTAAGAGATTATAATGACTGGATAAACTGAAGTTATTAGAAATACTGAACATTTTATACCCATCTGTTTAATAACACTGCAAACTCAAAATGTATCAGAAAATGTTCTGTAATATTAAATTTTGCCTTGTAAAAAAAATTAGAAATACCATACTAGTAAACACTAGTACTATCAAACTCTCTAAGATGTCTTTCCTCTTTTGATGTCACCCTTAAACATATTTCTGCCATTAGGTCTGGAAGAAATTGAAAATATAAATAATATAATATAAATAGAAAAACTACAAACATTTCTGAAGTTCAGATGATTGACATCCAGAAATTCTGACCCAAAAGAAAATTAACAGTGTATGTGGAATGAAAATAGCATTTATTTAGAAAAAAGAGATTACTCTGTCCCCCTTCTGAAATACAATCCAATAGTTCTTTCACTATGTCTGGGGACAGAAATCAAGCATTTGAGCTAAGTCTAGTGTCAATGCTAACAAAACTGAAGACTTTTAGGGCTCTGAATTTTGCACTGTTATTGTACTGAACATAATCTGGGCCTGATTGCAAAAGATTTTAGTAACAATGAAAAAGGAAAGCATGTCTCTTCAGAATATTCTGTGAACACATAGAATAGAGGCAACCAAACAGATAGGGTCTCTCCTCATAGTGTTTGTTTTTTGGTTTTTTTTTAAAATCAAATAACTCTTGCAAGCATTTAATATTGTGTTGTAGCATAATATACTTCAAGAAATGCATATCAACTCTGTAGGAATTGAAGCTAATGTATAATGCAGCTAGGGTGGAAATAAATGTTTTTCAATATTTGCAAAATTTTACCAAGAACCATTATTTAATTCTTTTATCATACAGTCTTTACCCCAGTAAATTTTTAAACTGCTATAAATAATCTGAGCAATATATAGCATTGGCAGAGAAAAAAATTTTAGCAATTGGTTAGATGCACGTTGTTGACACATGTTGGGGGGCAGGAAGGAAAAGCCAAATGAGATGCAACCAAAAAAAAAAAAAAAAAAAGGAACTGTAATACATATGTTACGTTTTTTTCTATTTTTGTTAAGAAAAAAATAAGCTCCAGGATGAAAAAATATTAGCAAGGGGAATTGTTGCTTTCTACTCAATCATCAGAACATGTGAAAAAAAATACAATATCCTTTAAAGGACAGAGTGTTTATATTATGATGACTGATTTAATCAGCTAGGATGAACCCACTGCTACTATTGAAAAGAAGAGAAAAAAAGTTGTCAACAAAATCAGAGAAAGCTCCTGCACTGGAATAATTAAAATGAAATGAAAACATTAAAACAGTCTACACATGATTAATAAAGAGAACACAAAACCTAGACTACCAGGGCACATGGCTCACCACTGTAAAGTTGTCAAGGATGATAGAAAGTGCACAAAAGTGAATGCTTTTGCACTACTTTCTTCCACCTCTAGAAGCTGAAATTATGCCAGGGAATAAGGCCATTCTAATTTTGAACTCTGTGTTTGGGGTTTTTTTAACGCACAAGACATTTTTTTTTCCAATCTTAAATTAAAAAACCTTCTTTATTTGATTTAGGAAAATATAACCACAAATAGTAATCCTGTGTTTGCCAAAATACTCAGCAGACTCATTGATGAAAATCAAGAAGTCAGAACAATGAAAAGCATCAGGGGCCCATTTGACATTGGATTAAAGATAATGACACTCCAACATGTTTCCTGTGGTTATGACTGTATCATTCATACTGTTAGAAGCAGATGCTACAATTTACATTATCTTTCCACCGTCTTTCACTGTGTGCAAATCAATTTGGTTAATCAATCTATATACTCCATCAATGAAGTGTGTTATTTTATCTGGGTTAGTTCACAATATTGTTTCATCTAACTGGAAATCCCTGACGGGAAATCCAACCTAACTTGAAATCAACCAGAAATGATATTTGCATAAGATAACTTGTGATGACATGATTTACCATGCTTGTGCTCCCTCAGGAATGCTGAAGACATAAGAAAGCTGCCTATGCCTTGAATTTCACTGGAAGAAAAAAGAGAACTATCTAATAGGAAAGCTGGAAATGAAAAGATTAAGCAAATCTCGAAACTCATCTCAGCATCGAACTGATGCATAAAAGTTAGCTCTCACAGTGACATTCAGAGGATACTGTCAGTGTCATACTCAGCATTCATGAATTAAACATCATTGGAAGATAACTGTGCTTGTCAGGGACCACAAATGGAACCGTGGCAAAAGCTCTAAGTTAGTCATAGTCTAATGCTATGTATAAATTTGAGTCTGGAAACAGAATGAGTCATTGTCAGTAATGTGTTACTTACTGCTCCATCCTGGAGCACTGGCTTGGAAAGAAATATCTGAGCAGCGGGACTGGACCACAAGGTTAGAAAAATATCAGAATGTTGAAAATATGACAGAATAAACAAGGATCAAAGTACATGGAAGCAGACTTCATAATACAAGTCAAGAGCAGATAAATGCATAGTAAAAACGTGCCAAGCTAATTCTGACATTTCTCTATGAAGGAAAAATTACAGATCCATTAATGGAGATTTTTATTTTAATGATAGCTTACAACTTCTTTCCTGGCTTCTAAAAGCATTTAGCTACCACAGAAAATGCTTCAGCTTTGCTTTCACCCATGCTATATTTCAGCTCAAAAGAGTCTGTAGTAACTAAGGAAAGATTGAGGGTAATTAAGATTAAATTTTGAGAAAAAAATAAAAAAAGTCAGCAACCCAGTATGGATATATTTTATGAAAGCATTCTCCACCACGTGAGAATTAAATCATCACAATCATTATGTGAGGGAAAAACCCCACAGATTCCCAATCCTACTACAATATTTTTTATTTAAGAGTGTGAGTATAACAGCTTTGTGACTTTTGTTTTCTTGAGCATTGCATTCTTAGTGGACACAAGTCACTTTGCTTAAAGTTGATTCATGGATTTTTTTTAAAGCTAAAGGAACTATGCCCATTCATGCTGATCTTATGTAATGGGCAAACTATGAAATATCACTTCTGAATGACTTTACCAAGCTCATCACTTACACATTTGCACTGACAAAAAGAATGACATACGAAGAGAGATTTCAAAAAAACCAATATATATGAGCCTTATCAAGGTGTTGAAAATGGTCTCTCAAAACATCTTTGATGACTACTTGGAAGGACAAGCACTGGACAGATGGCGCAGCTGCAGGTAGAGAAATGGCAAAGAAAGTCACGATTAACATCTCAAACCAGATTAGCATTTTGTCAAGATTTGACTACCTCAAAGATCAGTCCTAGACCTGATACTACTCAGTATCTTTACAAGCAGTTGGGAAAATGGTACTGAAAGCACCCTCATCAAGTTTGTAGATGACATGAAACAGAGAGGAGAGGTAGAAATATTGAAAGAAAGAGCTACGATGCAGATAGGTCACAAAAGGCTTGGAAATTAGTATAACAAGAAATGTATGAGATTTAAGAAAGATAAATTCAAAGTCTGTGCTGGGAAAAAGTAACCCCAAGCATCCATATTGGTTGGGAATTGGCTGGTGGGAGTGAATCTTGGCTGAAAAGGATTTATGGTGCCAAGATAGCTAGCAGAACATAACTAAGCAGCCCATCTCTGCAGCAGGAAAGCAGACTGCAGGCAGTATCAGCAGACTATAGCCAAATCCAGAACAAGGGAAGTGATTAATCCACAATACTTGGCATTTTTCAAGCCACACAAAGACCGCTCTGCTCAGTTCTTGTTCTCTGAGTTCAAAGAAATTGTAAAATTAGACAGGGCCCGCCAAAGTGATCAGAAGATTAGAGATCTTAACTTACATAGAAAAATTTATATAAAATGGTGTTTTTCCTAGAATGGAAGGCTTACAGAGAATCTAATCACCTTCTTCCATTATCTAAAGAGAATGTTAGAGAAAAGCTGAAGGTACTCTCTTCGTTAGGATGTGCGGGGACAGCATAAGAGGCAAGGCACAGTATTGTTAATGGGAAATTCTCTGAGAATTTAAGGAAAAAATTCTTCACGGTGAAAAAAACTAAGTACTGGAACATGTGGCTCAGAGAAGTCAAAGAATCAGCTTACTGGAAATATTTGAGACAGCTTAATGTAATTCTGAATAAATAAATCTAGCACCAGACCCCCTGAAT